GATATATGAAAACCAAAAAGGAAAGGGGATCAAACTATAGCATTCTTCTAGGTGAAAGGTTCCTAACCATTTTTATGTTATGAACCCCTTTGGCAGTCTAGTGAAACCTACAGGCCCCTTCCCAGACTCATGTTTTTAAATAATTGAAGGAAATGCTACATTTCAGGTGGAGGTTAGTGAAAGTAAGTATGTAATTTTTTCCCCTCATCCAAGTTCATGGATCCCCTGAAATCTATCCACAGACCCTTCTTCTGGATGGTTTAGTCACCTTCCTGAAGTTGGGGGTGGTGAGGGGGCCAAAATCATCTGGTGTCAAACGGTAAAAATGGGGCTAAAGCTACCTTTTCTCATTCTGTTAACTCTAGATTCTGAAGAGATTGATCAAATCTCACTCATCTCTTCAGCAGACTTCCTTATGTACCAACATGATTACAACTGATCTTTCGAGGTCCCTCTCAGCATTTTTATATAATGATACCTAAGATTTGTTCACATCTTGTGAAGATGTTAACAGGCTCGTGCCCACACTACCCAACAGTTTTAGAACAGGAAATGAAGAATATTGTATCTGGGGGCAAATGACGCAGATTGGGGTTTGGCCTAGGGACTAGGGATTGACACCCTTTAAAACAGATGTTCTTAACCTGAGGTCCAAGAACTTGGTGGTTGTTATTGTTAACATTTTGACAACAGTATTTCAGTATAATTCATTTCCCTTGTAATCCTATGTATTTTATTTTATTCATTTAAAAACATTAACTTGAGAAGGAGTCTATAGGCTCTACCAGATTGCCAGAAGGGCCCATGACACAAAAAAAGGTCAACAACCCCTGCTTTAGGTACTAGAGTTAGAATACTAAAGTGCTTATGGCCCCTACTTTCCTGCTGGGGAAAACCCTGAGGCATTGGGAGATGGACGTGAGTTAATTTGGAGCTTTTCTACAGGAGTTGTTCACCCCACAGAATTCTCACCCTGGCTCTGCAATTCACTTGCTGTATGTTCTTGGGCAAGTCAGCCCTTCTCTGGCCTCAGTTCCTTTCTCTGTAAAATGAGAGGTATTCGCTGTCATTCCTTCTAGCTCTAAATCCACAATCCCATTACCTTATCTAGCCCTCAGCCCCTAAATGTAATATATAACCTTGGGTCTCTTCCCCTCTCTGGGCCTCAGTTTCCTAAACTGTAAAATGAGGGGATTGGACTTGATCAAAGCTTCTTGACCTGAGGTGGGTAAACTTTTTTTTTTAATTTTGATAACTGTATTTCGATGTAATTGGTCTCTGTGGTAATTCTATGCATTTTACTTTATTTAAAAGCATTATTCTGAAAAGGGGTCCATAGGCTTCAACAGATTGCCCAAGGGGTCCAAGAACCCCTACTTTTAAAGAATGACAGAGAGAAAATGGCCAACAACAATCCATAAAATGAGAGGGTTGGACCAGATAATTTCTCCCTTGTTCTGAGGTCCTTCCAACCCTAAATCCTATGAATTCCTATAAACAAATTGTGTCAGTTTTGTTCTCATGTAAAATGACTGATTCTAAACATGGGACTTTGTAGGGAGAACAGGTAGCCTGACCGTGCCTGCTCTTTGGATGTTGTATTTTCATGGGCTAAGAGCCTCTGGCTCAGCCTGGAGCTGGTATTATGAATCATCAAGAGATGTGAGGTGATTCTGACTTGAAGCGGACTATAGGTCCAATGTGGGTTTGGAAGCAGTTACGTTTTTGTGGTTTGACTAACTTTTTTTTTTAAATGAGTGTGTCACTAAAGAAACGTGAGCTCTTGGCTTTTCGATTACTGTAGCTCACCCTGGTGAGTTTCATACACATTGAGTCATCATCTCTACAGGTGACTGATATACATCTGTGCTGTTTAAGTTACCGTAACTCAGAGATGAGGGGATTTGATCATTGCAAGTTGCTTGCACGTGAAGGTGTGAGCTTCTTCTATCTTCTTAACAATGAGCAATGGTTGTTTCGTTAACCACAGAATTCAGTTACTTATTTCCACTCATCCAGAGGTTTTCGTTTTCTTTTTTCCTCTTAGTGTTTTGCCTCTCACAACTTTTAGCACTCAGCTGTTTTCTAACAATGTGCTGCAGGTGCTACCATTGTGAAGTCAGGCCTAGTTAAGTGAAGTAAGATAATGAGAGGATTAAGACCCAGAATTAGTGAAGTGTTTTCATCCCAGGGGTAAATGTACTGGACCTCCTCCCTTAGGTGAAGATATTGAGAGGACTCTGTCAAGAAGCTGAATTAATTAGAGCAGTGGGATGGAGCATTAAACGTTACATTAAGCTTCATCATTTGGGTACCACTCTCAAGGGGTTGTTTGAGAAGTCTAAAGGTTTTTGGACTGTATTTTTTTCAGCCCCTCCTTCCAACACAGCAGTGTTCAGAGGTATGTTCTTTTTAGAAGTGGAACAGCAGAGACCGTGGTGAATTTGCCTATGGTCTACTCTTCCAGTAAGGTTGATTGTTGAATAAAGAAGGGGAGATCTGATTCACTGCATATTTTATTCTTTCCTCAGTTTTGGTCTTGAAACAATCACCTTGGCTTGTAGGTGTTAGGGAATATGGAAGTAGGTGTGTCTGTTTAGCTGGTCTGTTTCTAGTTTCCCTCTGTTCAAACCCATTTTGCATTCTGCCACTTCCTAAAATATCGTTTTTGAACATATGTTTCCCTTGTTCAAGAATATAAAGAGTCTGGGGCAGCTAGGTGGCATAGTGATAGAGCACAGGCCCTGGATTCAAGAAGATGAGTTCAAATGTGGCCTCAGACACTTGATACTTAGTAGCTGTGTGAACCTGGGCAAGTCACTTCACCCCATTGCCTCAAAAAAAATATATAGGGGATCTCTTTTGAATCTAAGCCAAGCTCAGCCTGGCATCCAGGGCCCTCCATTAACCAGTCCTACTATACGTGTCCAATCTTAGTCCTCACTTCTATCCAACATTGCCCCTCTGCTTCAACCATTATTTTTTTTCCATATACATCTTGCTTATTTCTCCCTATCTGTCTTTCCTTGATGTGTTCCTTGATTCAGTCTGTCTCTCTGCTACTTTAAATTGTATCCATCCTTCATGGCTCATCTCATCTTCTTCCAAGAAGGCTTCTCTGACTAAGCCCAAAATTACTTTTTGTTTCCTAAGCATTTCTGTAGGCAATCTTTGCTATACAGCCACTTACTTATTCATATTTTGTCTTGTCTTTTTTTCTATAGTTATTTCACCTAGGTTTTTAGTCTTTTTCCAACTATATTGTGAGCTCCTAAGGTTCAGAGACCATATCACCTCTTTTTATATCTCCTAAAGTGCTAAAAATCCAGTAGGCATTCAACAAATGATGGTTGAAGTACTTAGCTAAACTTAAAAGGTGTTGTTATACAACATTTTTTAAAATTAAGAAATGTTTTATATCAGTTGCAGTGACATGATTTGGCGTCATAATTATATGTAAAAAAAAAGTCTGCAGAAGATGAAAGAGATGCAATGAGTGTTTTAGAGCTTATAAAACTATGGGATGAGAAAAGTGGCACCAGAGGCTTCCTCCCCATCTCTGCCACTTACTTGATAAGTCCTTCATATTCTCTCCTTTGTTCACCTGCTACTAACTCAATAAGTGCACCTGCCACCACTGCTACCATCCATCCCAGTCTGCCCTGTGGCCTGGAAGCCTCTGCTTTCTGACACACAGCACCCACACACCCAGAGGAGGCCTAGGACAGCCTTTCAGAATTTCTCATCAGTCTGAGATGAGAAATAGGAAGGGGGAACCGTAAGAAGATTGTTTCAGTTAAGGGCAAGACAGGTCCTAATAAACAATTACATATTGATCATGGACCTATTTTTTTAAGTAAATAATGAGAGAACATTTTCTGAAATAACTTTTCTCTCTAGCCTCCCATTGCTAAAGCTTATTCTTCCTTTCCCAGTTATTGACTCAGTCAGGTGACTGAGCATAATTGAGCAGTGTGAAATTGATGGTTTTTAAAAGCTTTTAAAAATAATTTTGTCATACTTTCAATTAACAAGCATTTATTTTCTTTCTCTCCCACCTCATCCCCCAGATCAAAACAAAACAACCTCAGAACAAATATGCATAGTGAAGCAAAACAAATTCCTGTCCAAAAATATATGTCTAATTCTGCCCCTTGAATCCATCCCTTCTCTGTCAGAAGGTGGGTAGGGTAGATCATAATCAGTCCCCTGGAATCAAGATTGGTCATTGTAGTGCTCGGCATTCTTAAGTCTTTCAAAGTTATTTGTCTTTACAGTGTGGTGTGTGTACAGATGTGTATATACATATGTATGTTTATTTGCTTGTTTGCTTATTTATCTATTTTCTCCTGATCTTCTCAGGTTTCTCTGAAACCCCATCCCTTTCATCACTTCTTACAGCACAGTGGTATTCCTTTACTTTCATAGGCCATAATTTGCTCAGCCACTCACCGATTGATGGATACTTCCTTAGTTTCCAGTTTTTTGACACTACAAGAAGAGTTACTATAAATAGTTTTATACAAATGGGTCCTTTCCTTCTTTCTTTGATCTCCTTGTGGGAGATTCTTTCATCAGCCAATGAACTTGCCATCCGTTGCCTCACTTCTGTCCTGAGCTGTCAAAAATTGTTAGCAGAAAACAAGAGGCAAAGGGCTGTCTGTATTTTGGGTGGAGGATGGACGTGATAGGAGCACAGAACCACCCCTTGTCATTCAGTGCAGCTCACCAGTCATTTGAGCCCAATTTTAATGTACCTACATCTCTCCCATCCCTGGGATTCCCCAAATTTTGTCCAGGAGATGACAACAGAACTGTTGCCTCAACCTAATATTAGTGGCTGGTGGCCTCTGACATGGACCAAGTCTTATAACTCCATAAAGGGTTCTGTGTTCTATAATGGACCACACAGTCTCCCACAATCCAAAAACTCTTTGAATAATTCTGAGATCCCAATGCCTATATGGCCCTAATGTAACCTATTCTTTTCTCTCTTGTAGGTGAAAAGCGTCACTGCTTTGAGGTCAATTATAATTCTGGCTACATGTATGAGAAGGAAAGTGAAATGATACAGACGCGGATGATGGATCAGGCCATTAACAATGCCATCACCTACCTTGGAGCTGAGGCCCTGCGTCCCTTAGTGCAGACCCCTCCTGCCCCAACCTCAGAGATGGTCCCAGTTATCAGCAGCATGTACCCCATTGCACTTACCCGCACAGAGATGCCAAATGGTGGCCCTCAGGACCTAGAGAAGAAAAACACTCACCTATCAGACAAATGCTTACCTTCTGAAAGAGGCCTCTCGCCCAACAACAGTGGCCACGACTCCACAGACACAGATAGCAACCATGAAGAACGCCAGAATCATGCCTACCAGCAAAGCCATATGATCCCTCCCCGGGCCAGAAATGGGATGCCACCCCTGAAGGAGCTGCCCCACTCCTATGAACTCCTCAAACCTCCACCCATCTGCCCTCGAGATACCATCAAAGTGATCAACAAAGATGGAGAAGTGATGGGTGTATTCAGGTGTGACCACTGCCGAGTCCTTTTCCTGGATTATGTGATGTTCACCATTCACATGGGCTGTCATGGTTTTCGTGACCCTTTTGAGTGTAACATGTGTGGGTACCGGAGCCATGACAGGTATGAATTCTCCTCTCACATTGCTAGAGGAGAACACAGAGTCATGTTAAAATAAATAGCTCAATTCTCTCTCAGAGATTTAAGTATTGAGCATCATTAAAAAGCAGCAGCAACAACATACAACTAGACCTCCACTTTGCTGAAGCTGTAGAACCTCAAGTTATTTTCCCTATCAGTTCTGATATAAAAAGTGTAATGTCTTCATTAACTGCATAAAGGATTCTGCACTCGTTCAATAACTCTTGTGGACCCATGGTGTTACTATTGAGAGATGGGGTTTTATAGCATTTTTTTTCCCTCAGGGACTTAATATTATTGAACTTTTAAAAGCAGGGAAATCTTTAATCATCGCCTTCTTCACCAACACAACTCAAATCTGTGTTAAGAAGTCTGTCATCCATTCAAATTTCAAACTGTCCCTGGCTGTGCTCTGTGAAAGCTTGGAGGTGACATGTATTCAGCACCATTAACAGGGAAAATTGATCTTGGCCAGAAAACTGACTCAGAATTTTGCATGTACTAAAACCTTGGCCTATGTTGATTTGGGTGGGGAGGGCGGGGAGAGTAGAAGAAGGTATTTCCAATTGCCATATAAATAACAGGACTAGAATAGCAGCGTGATAGTTTATGTGATCAGGGGATCTAATCTAGCATTTGAAGACTGAAAACTCAACGCTGCTTTAGACAAGCAGCGCCCTCCAAAACAGTCATGTGTTCATCCTGCTGCTTCTCCCTACTCCCCTTCCTCCCCCAATTCTCTAAGAACTGTTTTGGGTTCAGCAAAGTACTCTGAAAGGAATTCTATATAAGGAGAGTTATCTTTTGTAAACAAAGACATATGGTAATTAAAACATAGCAAATTGTCCGTTATAGAACTCAGCATCAATTTCCTTTCCCCAAAGATGGGAAGAGGGAGTATCTAAGAGGGACAAGAAATGGTTCAGCAGTTTAAACAGGAAAAACAACTAATTACATGATCAATCAGCAAGCATTTATTAAGTACCTGTTGTATGCCGGGTACTATGTTCTTCTGACCCCCCACTATGTATTGTTACAAAGTGGAGGTAGATCTGCCAACCAACCCTTACTCAAAAATATTATAAAATTTAAAAAAACCTTGTTTAGTTGTATATTACCTCCTCCACCTCTAAGGAAGGTTAGGTAATTCCTGAGTGGTCATAGGGATAATGTTTTTCAGGCCAGAAGTTGCCCATCAAGAATAGATAGCTTTCCTGATGCCATGAGATCTTTGGCAAGATGACAGGTTTACCGTTTGATAGAGCTGATCCGCTAAATTCAACAAATATTTATTAAGCATCTGCTTTTCAAAGGGCACTGGGCAGAGGCTTTGGGCATACAAAGATAAAAATCACAAGAGTCCCAGCCTCTGAGAAGTTCACATTTTAGGTAAATACTTCCTGGTCTGCTCTCCATCAAAGGAGGTATTTCAATCACAGGTCTAATGGAGAGGGAGTTGATAACCCTTAATATAAAAGAAAGACATTGTGGAACAGAGGAAAGAGCCTTGGACTTAAGATACCTTGGATCTAGTTCTAACTCTGCCACTACCTATATGACTTTTGCCAAGTCATTGTACTTCTCAGGAGCCTTGGTTTCCTCATCTGCAAAACAGGGTATCTGATTAGACAATTGCTAAAGTTCCTTCTTACTCTCACAGTCTGATTTTGGGAATGACTACAGATCCTTTTGAAGCTTTTTAATCTATTAGAACTAAGTGAGTAAAAGGTTTTATATATGTAATTAATGTATATGTGTATGCATAATTAATGTAGGTATATTGCACATTTATTTGATGGTAAGGAAAATGTATTTTGGTTTTTCCATAAACATCTTCAGGTCATGAGGGAGATGAAGAGGAACATAAAGGGGGAAAACATCTTAATTTTCCCCCAAAGTATGCACAAAAAGTAATGCAAATAGCTTCTTGCCAAAGAATTTTTGATCTCATGTCAGGAAAAAAGAATTCTGCTTAGTGGAACAATTCTGTGCTGCCCATTTATAAGTGAGATTAAGCTTCATTGAGCATTTCTACTAAATCTCAAATTCCTGGCAGATTTATGTAGATCTGTGATTTCATTGGTGTAGGGGGCTTTTGGTGAGGAAACTCCCTCTACCAAGGCAAAACTACTATTGTTCTGAGATTTACAGTCTTAGAGATTTGTCTGAGGCACTGAGACTTGTCCAGGGTCACACAGCTGATTGGTATCAGAGATGGGATTTGAACCCAGGTCTTCCTGAGAACAAGGACAGCTCTCTCTCCATGACTACGTCTACTCTGCAGTAGCAGTAACTGTAACAGTGTGTGGGCTCAGAAGGGATAGCTTATTGCATTGGATAACTATGAGATTCAAACATATGCAGTTTTCATGTGCCATTTATTGAAAGGGCTCAGCTTGTTTAGATAATATGAGAAATTAAACATTCTCCCCTTGATTGTATAAATCACAAATCATCCTTTGCAGCTTTGCCTTTTCTTATTTGTGAAACTCTGTAGTTACTTGCTGCTTGGGATGTTACCCAGGGGCAATAGAGGTAGCATGCTATAATGGAAAGAATCTTGGACTTGGAAATTCAGAGATCTAATTTCTAGTTCTGACTCTTCCTCAAGCTTACTGTGTGATCTTGGACAAGTAATTTAGCTTCAGTGGGCCCTCAGACTCCTTTATCTGTAAAATAAGGGTATCCAACTCTTAGATCTTGTGTGCCTAGATACTTCTGTGTCATTTTCAATCAATCACCATATAGTGTTTGACTCTGTGCCAAGTGAGATTCCCCAGTAAAAGAGGAGCTTATCATGTCATTCTTATGATTTCACAAATTCTTTTGAATATTTAGGGGGTTGGGGAAAAGAAAGAGTTTGGAGGTGAGTGTTAGGAAAAGAAAAGCTTATCCCCTTAATGAAGAAATTCTGGTGAAGAGATGACTCTTACATCTCAAAATGGTGATGACAAGACTTGTTCCACCAACCACAGGAATGTTTTATAACCTTCATTCATTCACGTTGTCCTAATGCCCGACTGATTTCCTGAATGGTGCCCATTTTACTAGAAATACATTCTTTTGGGGAAAGAGGGTGTTAAGTCACACAGAGCATACTTTTAAATATTAGACTTCCAAGGATGGGACAAAATGTAGCCAATTTAGGTAATACTTTGCCTGTGAAAATTATTCACTTTCAGTCTCATAGTCTAACCCTGGCAGTTACCCATTGGAACTCATGGAACCAACTATTCTTTCTGAACCCACTATGGTATGCTTGTTGTGTTAACACCTTGCTTGTTGGGGAAAAAAAATCTTGAGAAAATGAGTGGAAAGAAGAGTTTGGTTCAGAGTTGTAACCTAATAGCTTTCTTGGGACTGGAGAACTTTCGCAGTAACTGCAAATACATATTCTATTAGCAGTTACTTTGCAATCCCAGGACCTGGGCAGATAGAAAGCAGACTGTCAGCTCTGTACTTCTGCTTTCCCACCAAATCTCCGGTAGGCAAGGATTCCACCTCCTACCTAGGAAGCCATCGTGAGATAAACAATCAGCCCCTAAGGAGACAGGTGTGGCATGGGTGTGGGAAGGGAAAAGAATAACTGTTGTGAAAGGGTCATTGAATAGCAATTCCTTTTTTTGTATAGATATAACATACTTAGTTTTTGAGTGGAACAGTTCTGTTCCCCCACCCTCCAGTTTAAAAAGCCCTCCCTACACTCCTATGATCACATTCTGAAAAAAAGCAAACTAACTTGATCTTTCTTATTATTTTCAATTCTTGCCTCCATAGCTCCTAACTTCATCACTGACACATTTTCTCACTGTTAAATGTAGTAGTGAGGCACATGCCACATTGACTTGAAGATGACTTCTAATTGAAACAGACTACTTTAAAAAAATTTCTAATTACAAAAATTTACTTTCATTTACATTACCACCAAAAAGGGAAAAAAAAGTCTCATTTTCCCTAGCCTCTCCCCTGTCCCTGTGTCTGGCTAAATATAGGGGTGGAGGTATTGAAAGGGAAAATACATTACAGAGAGATCCTAGGGCAGGTTGGAAGAATGGAATAAAGACGTAATGTGACCTCTCTGAGAGGGGGTGATCCCTGGTGGGGAGCTTGGGCCTCCAGGCTATTCGTATTGGTGAGAGAATTTGAATCTCTTAGAAGTTCAAGAAGATAAATGAAAATGGAGTGAAAACTAGGATGATGTGATTTTTTAAGGGCTGGAGCAGTTCGTCCTAGAGTTAGAGGAAGATTAGTGAGAAATACTGATAACTAGGGAAGGTTTCGGAGACTGGGTTCTCAGGACAAAGAAAAAGTTAGTTGAGGGAGTTGATGGGGACTGAAGGGGAATGATTTCAATCTAATCCCAGCTACAAAGGGACCCTGCTTTTGTGTAAGGACCGAAAGAAATAGGACTGGTCATAGATAGTTGCAAGGAAGAAACAGTGGCCCTAAACTAAGAGGAACAAAGAGGAGAGGCCTAATGAATAGGAAAACCTGGAGGGGATGTGTTAATGCTTGTTAAGGCCATTGAGTAACAAGCTACCTGTCACTTACCTAAGCTGTATGCAATTTGTACCACAAGACTTCCTCACTGTTGGAAAGTTGTTTTCTTTGTGCTAGGAACTGGTTAGCTGCCTGTTCCCATCCAGTCCATTATTGGTATAAATTTGGAGAAACCAAATGGGTCAGGCTATGAGTCAGTCCCAAAGGCGTCAATGAAGGAGGAAAATTTGTTCTATTAGGTCATAATAGTAAAAAAAAATTATTCATTTAAAGAAGTAGCAATGAACTAGCCATCTGTTTACTAGTTCCCATGGACATCCATTCCTCACAGAGGAGAGAGTCTGAGCTCGGAGAAGGATGCCAAGTCCCTATAGTCACTTCATCCAGGTGTCCACATGCAGCAGTTCTAGGCCCCAAGGGCATCATCCAGCAAAATGAAATGAATTATATTTTTAAAGGTTTTTTTTCTCTTAAAATAACTTGGTTTTCTGATGTTTTGGGGCTATGCAATTCTTGGTGGGTTAAAAGGGAATGCTAACTATTGGAGAAGTTAGTGATAGAAGTATATGCATATACCTACCTCAGGGGATATTATGAGGAGTCACAGAATTCTGTGTCTAGAATGAGCTCTGGGACTGGATAAAAGTTCACTCGAGATGGTTGTATCTTTTGGTAATTTACTATACTAGTGTCCCAAAGACTTCAGAGGGTATAATTTTGAGCCCAATCCAGGGTCCCAAACTTGAACTAGTTGCCAGGGGAGGCAACTTCTCAATACTAAATATTGACACTGGTTTATTCCTTGATTTTATTTCCTTTATGTTATTTTAAGGTGTAAATGGAGAACATTTGTCAAACCTTTCCAGCCCTTTTAAGAAGTGAAACCGTGTTAATTCATTAGCATTAAGTCCCAGACTTTTAACTTGATGTCTGTATGCAGGGAAATAGTGTGCACTCTAATAGGCCTCTAGCCAGTAGCCTCCAACAACTTAAGGGTTTTTTCTCAATCAGTGCCTTAGAACCTCTTTCTCCTTACATCTTTACTCTGGAATGCCTAGAGAGGCTCCAGCTGACCCTCTACCTAGCCCCATTCTACTCTCAGCCCTCCTACCATCTGTAACTTTTCAAAGTGGAGCAGCTTCCTCACCTCATCCAGTGCAGGCAGAGAGCAACCAGATTCTCTATTTTTCTAGGTGGGTAATATAGAGCTTGAGTGTCCCACAAACACAGCAGAAGCCTTCTAGCTAAATCAGCCAGTCTCGTTTCCATCTCATCTTGGATTTTCCCACATCTTCAACTTAGTAGGGTAATAGATACAAGATATCTTCTCCCCTCTCCCCCCCCTTTTTTGGAAGACCTATCCTTGCCCTGGCTACGTGTATGGAAACTAAATCATTGTGGGTTACAAGTGGTTAGTGGGTCATTTAAAGAGCAGACACCCCTTCAGCTAGACAAGTGACTTTGAATATTCAAGTTCTCAGGCTTTGAGCCGGTATGAGGGATCATTTTAGCAGCTGGAAAAACCAAGGCTTTATTT